ACCCGAATAGAACGACCGGTAATTATTGCCGTATCTGGACTGAAAGTTGCACCAAATACAGCTATAATGACCGGGCATTCTATTCGGGTGAAGACGATACTAACCCTAACCCTGGCCTACTAACCCTGACATATTAATCCCGACATATGAACCCTGACATAGGGCCTCGCTCCACTACGCTGGACCCACACAAAATTTCATGAGTGCTTCTAAAACTTTCCGAGGTCTAAAACTGTCGAAAAAAGAGGCCTCACTCCACTTAGTCTGGACTTGCGAACTCTGGAAGCACTCACGGTCTCCGTGAGGGCTTCAAACAGCACTACGAGACAGGGTCAGCCTGTTCTCACGGCTGGGGCTGGAGGCGCACTTAAGAAAAAAAGAGGTCGCAGTGGGGCTATGAGGGATCGCAGTAAAAAACCGTCGCGTTGCAGGCTGTGAACTCTAGAGTCGTCGAGAGTGCCCTTCGAGAGTGCTTTCTGATAGCTCTCAAGGGTGTTCCCGTGAGTGCAAGTCTAGAGTAAGTGGAGCAAGGCGTTACTCTCGAATTTTCGGGAGTCTTACAGTAGTGGAGCGAGCCCCATACTGACCCTCTCACAATCACCCCAACTTGCTCACCTTGTGCATGCTAACTGTAAAACACCTGTGGTGGGCTCACCAGAGTAGGCGCTTCACATTCGATGCATCATCGGATAAGAGAGTGACAAGATATCTACATGGGAAACAGTGCACTAGAGGGAAGTTGATCGCTTGTGGAGGCTTGGTTCTCGTCACAGGTCCCCAGTGGACAATGGTTGGTGCCCACCTTGGGGTATCACTTGTGAGGCAGTGGTTTGTGCCCACCCGCACCCGGGGTTATGATGGATTATCATTTATAGTATCATCATCCGTTATGCCTAAAATCCCGACACACAATTCTAAATCACTAGATAATAATTTGACCTCACTAGAACTCACACACTAACCTTCAAAATTCAAACATTAGTTATCCCTCACATACTGACTCGCATTTCTTAAAGCACCAGTACACCATAATAATTTGGCCCTTGGGTGTCATCGTGGAACCCGCACCACTTTGGAGGCCACCATTTTGTTTTCCCCCAACGTCATCCTGTGCCGCGCAGCCCCTTGGAGTTTTGCTTGTGGCGACAAAAACTGTCTGCAAGGCTGGGGCCGTGTACTACCGTCTTAACCCGAATCTAACGCCCGGTAATTCTCGCCGTATACGGGCTGAAAGTTGTGCCAAATACAGCTATAGTGACCGTGCGTTCTATTTGGGTGAAGGCGGTAGCGGTTTAACACACTGAGACTCGAGTTAATTATCCTTAGGCATCCTACAGTTGAGCCGTATTTCATTTTGTATTATACTCTATACGGTGGTGGACGTGTGCGGACGGATGCTGTATGTTATACTTCTCCTGCCTGCCATTGAAACAAAGTGGTAAGGTCCAAACTGAAACCATGGATAGTATCACTCTTACAAGCGATATTTATGAAAGGTTGTGTAACCTAAACCCTTATTAATGTCGTAAACCCTTGTCACCACACCAAACTGTTTGTGGCATACTGCGTAGCCACACGGGCCCTACAGGGCCCGTCCCGGACATAGCCTAAAAGCCTAAAACTTAGGGCTTACAGGCCCCGTTCATTTCAGCCTGGATGCTGAAAAACGAGGGCCTGCAGGCCCTACCTCGTTTCAGCCTATTTCTGGGTCTTTTCAGACCCAGAGTTTTCAGCCTGAAACGGAGGGCCATTTTCAGGCCCTCATTGTTTCGACCTGCTCCTAAGACTCAGGC